CAGCAGGTCCCCTTCGGAGTGGACCCTGTTCTACCTTCATGGTACGTGTGTCGTCGTCTGTTTGTTAAGGCCTCTTTAAATGCCAAGGCCTCTTTAAATGCCATGCTTTTGTATTTTGCAGCAACGTGTATTGTTCGTAACCATCGTTTCCTGTTTGTTTTAACAGCACGCTTTGGTTCCAACTGGCACTTCAACGCTGCAACGTGTAGGCCGTTTGCCAACCGGGCATTCGAACTCGTCCTGCTGCGCGGTTTTGGGAGCAAGAAGGCGACAACGATCATGGTGAAATTCCCTGCAGTTGGCTACGCCTTGAATGTGGTGAGTGAGTCGCTATTCCAGGGGAGGGTTTCAGGTCATAACCGCCAGTCCGTGAAGACTCATTTTGGTTGCTTTTCTTGATGCAGGTGGAATGGCCTCTGGCAAATGCCAGAGGGCGAGTGAACCCTGCACTCGACGGTTCCGAGACCGTGAACCAGCAGAATGTCGAGGTAAAGATCGGGCACCTAGTCACCTGGATTAGGGAGACATACGAGAACGGAGACACCGCGATCTGGGACCCGGTAGCTCCTGCTGGCTTCAGGATGTCCCCCAACGTGAAGCTATTGATTGAGGGTTATGAGTCTCAGGTGTTCCCTGCAGGTTTACCCTAGGAAATTGGATGCTAAGAGTATTTTATTTAGCATGAGGTTGGAGTGGTTATTACATGACTGCTAGGGTTACAATGCAAATCCTAATACTAATACATCTCTAAAATAATGTGTTGTAAAATGCTCTGGAGCCGTATACTTATGAACAATTGTAGCTATTGAATTGATTTATCAAAAACACACTATTTAATATTTTAAACAATCTGGATGTTGAATACACTACAGTCACTGTACCACAATGTTATCATATATAAACCCGACTATAATCACAGGGCATGCGAACAGTAACGAAATGTTACTTCGATTCTAGCTCTTATTAACAATTCGTTAGACAAAGTAACCCCTTCGTCATCGACTCGCCAGAGCGACCTGGATGGACAAAGGTGCACTCTAAATCGCCACACAGCGATACAAACGACCCCTACTGAAAACACGTGCACGCAGTCACGATGATCCACGCCAACTCCCGCTCATACTCAGTGTTGACTGCGATTGACAACACGGCTGCAACCAAGTTCGAACGTGCTGAACCAGACTCTACAGTGACGCGTGTAATCAGACGCAATCCCCTGATCCACAGCAGGTACGATCCACAGTCTATTTGGAAACAACCCATCTACTATCTACGAGGTGGACGGGAAACTGAAGGAAAGGCATCACAATTAACCCAAACTTCCCCAACCCACCCCAACACACTCGTCGTTTTTTTCCGATGCTGCTATCTTCGCGAATGCCATGCTCGCCGCTTCTCTCGGTCCGACTATGGTTATGTCGTCCGCATACGCGACCACGGCGACCTCTGGCATTGTCGCCGAGATGCTTAAGAGAGCTGGCTGAATGGCCACCGCGAACAATAGAGGGCCTAAGGGATCGCCCTGCCTGACGCCTCGCGAGCTCTGAATGTGGTCGACTCCCAGACGAGCATCGGTGAGAAGGCGTGAGGGGCCGTCGTAGAGGTTGCGGACGAGGGGAAGCAAAGGACTAAGGTTGGACCATTGGAGGGCCCCGAGGAAAGCCGAACGCTCAACGTTGTTAAAGGCGTTTTCAACATCTAACTGGAGCGCAATGCGTGTCTCGTCCTCATGGAGTAGGGATCGGACGGAGTGAATGATGCACTACGCTCCTCCTGGCGCTGCTACACCAAACTGCACTGGGAGGAAGAAGGTCCTTATCTTAGGTCCTAGAGTATGTAGCGCCACTTTCGCCACTACGCGGAGCACCGCCTCGCCAATCGCTATAGGTCGTACTCCGCCGATCGGCTTCTCTAGTGCGATGAGGCGGGAAGGTAGTAGCAGCTCTCTCACGTGTCTGGGCTGGTAAGTACTGAGCAGCTGATTGACTACCTTGGCAAAAAGCTGTAGCAGCTCTTCGTTGGCCAAGGCAGGGTCTCTCAGGTGCTCGAAACAGGTGCTTGAAGGGCCCGCATCAACATCGCTCGGGCACTTCGCCAATATTTCGCGTAGCGTGTCCAGCGGGACTGCTAGGTCAGAGGTGGTGATTCCGGTAACCCAGGCGGGGATCTGGTTTTCCGCTGCAAGATGTTTCGCTGACAACGCCTCGAGTGTAGCTGTAGTTGCATCGACGAGCGGACTCGTTCGCAAAGCTGACACTGCTTTCGAAATGTTGCCTTTTTTCAGTAACCCCTCCGCCTTAGCACAAACCCCTTCCTCGTGATTCTAACAGATGAGCTCACCAAGTACATTCGTGAGACGAGGATTAAGGTTCGCGGATTTAGCTCCTCATTCAAGGAATGGTGGTGCGTTAAGGCAATTGATTATCCGATTGTTGCGCGTATGGCTCGAGACTACTTGGCCATACCGGGAACATCCCCGGATTCGGAGAGGGTGTTTTCATTGGCAAGGCACATGATGACGGACTTTTGGCATAGCATGAGTCCGGATACGGTGCGGGCGTGCATGTGCGTAAGGTCATGGCAAGATTTTGTCGGTTATGAAGCTTAATAGAGTAGTTAGGGTAGGAGTTTGAATTGCATGCTTAGCTAGGTAGAGGTTAGGTAGGAGTTTTAGAGGTGCATCAATCTTGTTGAGTTTGTCTACTTCTTTTAGTAAACAATAAAGGCCTTTGGTTGAAACTTGTTTGGGGATTTAAAAAACAAATCTGAACTGTCCTAGTGATATTGCCTTGTTTCCCACTGCTCTGGATTATGACCAGAAGTTTGAGTGTGAATGCCTTCAATATTCTCATCAGAGTAAGGTGTTAGTGTCTAACGTTTATGAATCAGACTTTATCTGGCATCAATGTTTGGTGTAGCAATCATCTTTTACCAAACATTTCATCACTGCGACAAATGAACCTGTCAAGACTGAACCCGCGTGCCTATGACAAAAAGCACCAATAAACCAACTGGGCATCTACCTCCGAGTGAATTGCCCCAACAGAATTAATTGTTCATAAACTGAACCTATACAGCTGGACTACCATAGTGAATCTCCACAACCATAATATTAATTTGAAAGCATACTTGGCTCTTAGACATTCCTCAAAACAACGAGCTTAGCAGCATTCCTCAAAGCTTTGTGAAGGATCGTCTAAAACCTTACAACCTAACACCCTACAGAGACATAGCGCCTTGGGGAATTGAGATTATACTGGACCCCAAAACTGATAACTAAAAGCCGAAAACTGTCGAATAAAGTCCAACCACAACGCACAAACCCAAATCCTTTTAACGCCAAACCGTATCCGAAATCGTATTCGACAAATATCTGCATATTCGAACCGTATTCGTATTCGTATAAGACCAGGTATTCGAACAAATACAAATCTGGCCAAGTATTCGGCTACTATTCGTTTATAGTAATCGTATTCGTACCCGTATTTGAATTTACACCCTTAGGTAGTGTCGGTGGGGGGTCAGGTATCGAGAGAAACGGTAGCGATAGGAGCCTAAGGGAGCAGGCTGCTAGCCCGAGAGGTGGAGGCGTGGGGAGAGGAGGGAGAGGAGGAGGTGGGGGAGGAGGGAGGGGAGGTGGGGTCGGGGCAGCGAGGGGAGGGGGAGGAGGAATGGCAAGGGAAGGGCCAGGGGGGATGGAAAGGAGAGGAACGGGGGAAAGAGGAGGCAAAGGAGGAGGCGGAGGTGGGAGAGGAGGAATGGAGAGGAGAGGGAGTGACGACCCGATGGATCAAAGTAGGGAGTGGAATAACAGTCGGGAGTGGACGAGCACCCGCGAGGCATCAGGGAACAGAGAGGCTTCTAACGCCACCAGAGACACTGCTGACTCTCGGAATACCTCTGGTGGTGCTCGAGAGGCTACTAGTGGTTCTAGAGAGGCTACTAATTTGAGGGAGGCGTCTGGGTCGTCTAGAGACGTTTCTATTCCGCGCGACGGGCGGGACCTTGACCGCAACAGGGAATGGAATAACAGTAGAGAGTGGGGCATGGCTAGGCAGGACACCAAGGAGAGATCGCGGCTGGGGGGAGGCGCAGGGAGAGGGGGAGGAGGGGGAGCGGGGGGGGGGAGGGGGGGGGGCGCCCCTCCGAAGAGCATCTTACGAGTGTCCACGTCTGAAAGTTACTCACGGCAGAACTCACAGGTGGGGGCGAGCGCAGGCGGGCAGGAGAGCCCTCGGCATGGGAGAATACCCCGGCCCGACGGGAGAGGGGGGAAGCCTCCGCCCTCTGGGGGGAATGCGCTAGGGGGAGGGGCAGGGGCGCCGGGCGGGCGGGCAGGGGGGGCAGGGGCAGGCGGAGGGGGAGGGACTAGCGTGGGGAGGGGGAATCCGGGAGGGTCGGGGCTGGGGAGAGGGAGCGGGGGGAGGGGAGGGGGTGGGGGGGAAGGTGTGGGGGAGAGTAGAGGAGAGGGGGTGGTGCGGGCGTCAGGGGGGGGAGGTGAGGGGAAGCAGAGTGAGAGCTACGGGGCAGGCAGGGGTGGGGGGTCTGGACCCGGCAACTCCGCTCCTGGGAATGCATCCAAGGGTGGGCCTCTGGGCACTCCTGGTAGTCTCAGGCGGGTCAACAGCAGCAGCCCCTACAGTGGCAGCAGCGGCAGCAGTGGCAATGGAAGCAGCAGTAGAAGCCCGTTGGCAGAACAGCGAGAGGGCGACGGCGCCTCCTCTGCGGTAGCAGACGGCGGGCAGGAAAGAAACACTTCTGGAGCTGACGGGCAGCAGCCAAGAAGATCCTCGCCAGGGTCCCCAATGGATGCGATGCGATCGCTCATAGACAGCCGCCCGCGCACCAGCGGAGAACTTACCAACCGCATGGGCGGCGCTGCCGGGAAAATCCTGGGCCGCGGGGGGAGTGTCGGGGGAGGGGGAGGCGGAGGGGGAGGGTTAGGGGGAGGGGAGGTGCAGAGGGCGCAGTCTATGTCCCCCCTGTGGCGCAGCACGAGCATGGACCCGGGGTCGCTGAGTGCTGGGGGGGCGAGGCAGCCCAGGACGGGGTCGGAGCAGCGGGCAGCACAGGACATGCGCATGTGGATTGAGCGGGCCAGTAACCCCAAGATGGATGAATGGCTGTCGCAGGTGAGATGGACGCATGGCTTTGTGTAAGGTGAATACTTGGGCTCTCTTTTTTTGGTCAACACTTTCCCGTCCACTTTCCAGCCATTTAGCTCCGTATTACATTCCTGCTGCTGCACTTCCCTCCCTCTATTCCCCTCCAGCTTGAGCAGTGTTTGCGCCACCACTCATTCTTCCTCTCACCTGTTGCTGCCCCTCCCCTCTCCCTTCATTTCCCCTTCAAGTCGTCTCCAGCTCACCTCTGCCCGTCCCACGAGCTGTAAAGAAATCTAGCAGCAGTGGCACCACCCCTCTGGCCTCCCCTCACTTATTGTTGCCCCTCCCCCCTCTTCCCCCTCCTGGTCGTCTCCAGCTCACCTCAGCCCGTCCCATTAGCCGGAAAGAAATCCAACAGCAGCGGCACCACCCCTTTATCTACTTCTCGCTTTATCTCATTTCCTTGCCCTCTTGTTGCCACTCTCGACCATCCCTCTATTTCCTTGCAGGTTGCCTCCAGCTCACCTCCGCCTGTCCCCCGCGCCGTGAGGAAATCCAGCAGCAGCGGCACCACCCCCCTCTGTCTTCCCCTCACCGCTTTCTGCCCCTCCCCTCCTTCTCTTCCACTTCAGGTCGTCTCCAGCTCACCTCCGCCAGTCCCCCGCGCCGTGAGGAAATCCAGCAGCAGCGGCACCACCCCCCTCTGTCTTCCCCTCACCGCTTTCTGCCCCTCCCCTCCTCTTCCACTTCAGGTCGTCTCCAGCTCACCTCCGCCTGTCCCCTGCGCCGTGAGGAAATCCAGCAGCAGTGGCACCACCCCTCCGCTGCACTCTGCCGACCGGCCCCCTTTACAGTTACACTCACGCTCACCGTCCCACTCACAGGTACCCTCTCCTCCCCAGCAGCAACAGCTGCAGCAGCAGCAACAGCAGCAGCGCAAGTCGCTTAGACGCATGCAGAGCTCTCCCTCCCTGTCCCCCATCACCAGCCCGACTGGGGAGGAGAGTGAGAATATGTTCCGAGAGGAGGGTGGGGAGGAGGGGGTGGATGATGACGAGGAGGAGGAGAGTGAGGTGGTGAGGGGCAGCTGGAGGAATGACAGGAGAGGGGCGGCCGATGTGATGACTCATCGGTCGATGTATGATGAGTCAATGCAGCCGTTGAAATGATGGGGTACAGGGAGGGGAGAAGGGGTTGGGAGGGGTGCAAGTAGGAGGCGTTATGGGGTATGGAGCTAGCATGGAGGCACGCAGGAGCGATAGGAGAGGGGCGGCTGATGCGACGAGACGTTCTTTGTGAGGGGTCAGCATGGGACGCAAAGGGGGTGGTGGAAAGGCGTTGAATGTTCCTACTGAGAAATCCCTTCAACGCCGTGCTACCATAAAAGGACTTTCAGGTTGAGTCAGAAGTCGTGCTGACTTGACTAGCATGTGTGTGACTGACCGAACGGCGGCGGCAAACGATCTCTTTGTGTGTCGGGCCGGCTGTTTGTTTTTATAGGCTAGTGCATGTATGATATGTTACGCTGGTTCTGTGGGTGTACACATGGAAAATATAGTAGTACTTGGCTGCTGCTGAGGTGATGCAAAATGGGTGCAGACTGGAAGGAGGGGTAAGGGTGGGCTGGTGGGATGGAGTGATGCGCCAATGCGTGTTCAATGTTGGTTGGACTGGAGGGGGGCCTCTTTTCAAGGGGGCTTCAGCAATGGCTGATTTGGAGAGGGAGTTCTGAGGTCAGAATTGGGCCCAAGCCCAAGAATTTGTTCGTTTGCAGTGTTAAAAACGTTGCTAGATACGTGCCTTTTCTGTTGAAGGGTGTGAAATCAAGTGTATGCTTGATTCTAGAAGCACTTCCTCATAGCACTTATCGCTATATTGCATGTGCAAGGAAAGGACAGTGCAAACACATTGCGGCTACCTTGAATCAGGGTGTTTGAGCTGTTCAGGCCTTCGCTTATCGGGGTAAACGACATCAACACCTGAATTACAGGATACTATAAATGTTCCTTTCGCCGAAAACAACATTCGAAAGGGTTGAGTCGAATTTACATTCTGATCCTAGAAAGTTGCGTCTTGATTTCTGAAGGTGCCCTGTGCTCGCCCTTAGGGCGTGTCTCCGTTTTGATCCCAACGGCTCGAACCGTGGACGGTCCGAGCTGCGAAAAGGTTTCCAGCGTCGCACTGTTTCGTGAATAATTCGTGAAAGTGCGTACGACGTCGCCAACAATCCGAACCGTCACGTCACTTTGTACCCGTTTCAACGGTTCAGAATCTGAACCTTGACAGTTCAGAAACCAGACGGACAGTGCAACAGTACTAACTAGGGATTGGCGCTCAACTTTTTTCGGAAAATATGAAAATATGATTGGGTGACGAAAATTGCAGAAAAGCTGTCGTGAATTGTGTAACGACGCTACAGCGTCTCTAGCGAGACTACAGTGCTTCGGGAAATTCAAAACACTGAAAAAAATGCAAGTCTTGCACTCGGACGGGGCAAAGTTCCGAATGGCAACTCGGACAGTCCGGTTCTCGCTATTCGGACCCTCCGATACCAGAAAAGTGAACCGTCCGGAAAATTGCCAAAAAAAAATAAAAAACGAGACACACCCTAAAGACTGCTTTGCCATCCAGTGTCAAGCTGCCACGTGTAATTCGGGACTTGCAAGGTACAAGCGCATTACCAGCCAGGCGTGCTTCGCCCACCCCACGTCAGACATTCGAGGGTGTGGTTACCAAACCACACGATAAAAAATGCAAGCCATGTGCATGGAACGAACACCAACCACAAAAATGTGACATGCAACAAAGAACAGGCCCCAGCTTTGCCCAGCACGCCCGACCTATGACGATAAAAATCGAACAACTAATTCACAAAGTCAGCATTCTCTCACACCCCAGCCGCTCACAATGCCCCGCTTTAATCGACGGGAGCAGCTCCCGCTCCATATCAAGCGCGCTATTTGCGCGCACCACGTCGACAACCCCCGCCTGCGTCATGTTGACCTGGCGAGGTGGTGCTACACGCAGTACGGATTGCGCCCGGATCGCTCCACTGTCGGCCGCATATTGAAGCTCGCCGAGCGATGGGCTGTCACGGCAACCGGCGACAACCAAGTGCGCCGTCGAGGTGGCGCATGGCCTGAGCTGGAGCAGGCCATGGCGCGGTGGATCGCAAACGCAGGGCCCGCTGGCGTGCCTCTGACGCTGCAGACCATCCGCGACCATGTCGCGACGATGTCCCGGAACATGGGCATTCCGCCCTCATTCCGCTGCTCCATCGGCTGGGTGCGCCGTGCTTTGAGGTGCCAGGGAGTGAGGTGCCGTGCAGCACAAGGCGAGGCGGCTAGCGCGGACATGGCCGCCGTGCGCCACGCACGTGAGAAGCTGCCGCAACTCCTCACGCATCTCGGTGTCACCCCGCGGGACACTTTCAACCTCGATGAGACGGCGCTCTGGCTGTCAGTCCTCCCTCGGCGCACTTACAGCAACGGTCGCATTCTCGGCCGCAAAGTATCGAAGGAGCGGCTCACCGTGGCATTCCTCGTGAATGCTGACGGGAGCCACGTATTCCGACCGCTCGTGATCAGTAAGGCGAAGCGGCCGCATGACTTCCGCCCGGATTATGACCCTGAATCCCTTTGCTACTGGCGGCACAACGAGAAAGGCTGGATGACCTCGCCAGTAAGCTCGTCGTGTTTTTTTGTGTCGTCCGTTCTGTTGAATAACGAGCTTAAGAGGTAGTTGAGAGTTAAGTGGGGGCCTAGGCTTAGTAGCCTAGGCCAAGGAGAAGTCGAGTGGTTTGTGCCAAGAGAGAGGAGAAATGAATGGTTCAATATGAGAAAGAGGTACAAGATATAGTTCAGGAAAGGGTGCACCACCAAGAAAGTACAAATATAGAACTACACTACACTAGAACTACATGCAGTTATAACAGTATTCTGACACGTTCTTGTTGCTGCGGACAAATTACGCGTAATATCAAATCTGTATGGAATGTGTTTGTGCTTACAATGTTCCACTGTACGTTCCGCCTTCCCCTCCCTTTCCGTCCCTGCAGTTATTCACACATTTCATATCGCAGCTCAATGCTGCGATGTACGCCGAAGGTCGCAAGATCGTGTTGCTGCTCGACAACGCGAGCAGCCACATGCTCCGCTCTGAGCTCGCATGGAGCGAGATCGTCTGCGGCATGCGGACGACCTGCATGAGCAACGTGCGGCTTGTCTTCCTGCCGCCGAATACCACCGCATTCACACAGCCGCTTGATCAAGGCATCATAGCCACCGTAAAGGCCTGCTACCGACAGCATTGGCTGCGGGCCTTCTCGGCTTTGTGGAACGGCGACGGCGCGACTTCCGCCGTCGCGCGTTTCCGCCCGAACTTGCGCGATGTCCTCGCGTGGCTGTCGGACGCGTGGACCTCGGTCGGCGCGCGCACCATTCAACGGTGCTGGAGGCGCACGGGGTGTCTGCCGCTCTCGTGGTCCCTGGAGCTTACGCAGGTACACGACGATGAGCCCTCCCCCCGCCGTCTACCCCGACATCGAGCTCGACGACGACATCGACGATGTCGGGACGCTTATTAGCGGGCTCGCCCTCGGGAATGCGGCGATGACGGCCGCAGAGTACGTCGCCATCGACGACGACGAGCCAACGTGCGCCGAGGGCGCTGCGGGACAGCCCACAACTGAGCCGGAGGCGGGCCTAGAGGTGTAGCTTTGGCACGCGCCGACGACCATGCAAGCCGTCTACGACGACGTCGACCCAGTGTGCCGCGAAGCGCGGCGCACTGCACGGGCGGCATGCGAGATGCTCATCGGATATGCACGGGCCACCCGCATCACGCCGCGCGATCTGTGCCATCTGTTCGATATCCGCAACCCCATCGTAATCGCGCGGATGGAGCGGGCGAGCCCGTCATTCAACCTCAACGTGGCGCCTCAGCCCGTACCCTCCCCGGGCGCAACTCCCACGCCCGAGACCCCTCGTCCGCGCGGCCGTGTGCTGCCCGGCTGGATGACCCGTCCGTCTCGCCGTCAGGAGTTGTTTGACGCCGGTGTGGGCGCCGTGATGGACGGGTATGTGGACGCGGCTGAGTGGATGCGTCTGTGAGGGGGGGGTGGAGCAGACTTCGCAAGGTGTCGAAGGCATTTTGCTGAGAGCCCAAGTGTTCACTCCTTGTGCCCATTTGTGCGTGTTTCGTTCTGTGTGTTGAATGGAGATGATGGGCCAGGTGGAGGATGTTGATTGGAAGGTGTTTGTGTTTGGACTGTTTTGTACTACGAAGAACAGTTGTTGTGCATGCTTGTTTCGGTACTGTAGCGTTCGTTTAGTAACCCTAAACACACAACAGGGACAAGTGCTGCAACCCCTTACTGTTGCGACACAGACAAACTGGGTGGTTACCATGTGCAGTTTTGAAGCACGCTGGACGCCTGACGAAATTCACGAATGCCCCGCGAAATGCAGGTTTAGCTTACAGACCCAGTTCACAAGGCAACCGGGAGGGGTGTGAAAGAAGTGAACAGGAATGAAATGACTAAGGAAAGATTGGGTACAAATACAACCCTAGAAACCCTGTACCCCATATGTGCTACCCCACTATAGCCTACAGCAACTATGTCATATAAATCTGACACACCCCCATAGGCAAAGTGGGGGAGAACAAGGGGTCACAAGACCAGTCAAGTAAAGCAAAGCAGAGCAAGCTCAGGGTGGATCACAACGTCACCACACAGTCCGAGCACAAGAGCAGGGCCAGAGGCCAGTTCACATGCAGGAGTACAGACATATATATATAAAACTAGACAAGCAAGAGCAGGTATATATATGTCACAGTACAAGTAAAGTCAAGAGGAGAGCAAGTGAGGCAAGACAGGCACAAGACCCAGCTGGGTGCAGAGGCGCTGATGGTCACAAGGCGCGAGTGCCTTGGTTAACACATCAGCAGTGTTGGCCTCAGAGGCCACGTACGCAAGCCGCAACTGTCCACGCTGCTGCAGCTCACGAGCAAGGAAGTAGCGAAGAGCAATGTGCTTCGTTCTGTGCTCCAGACGCTGCTCTCGACACAAGGCCAGCATGGCCTTGTTGTCTACGTACAGCACTGGAGGAGAACGAGGCGGCTCTCCAAGGTCACTCAGCAGGTAGGTGAGCCAGCGAAGCTCCTGTGCAGCCATGGCCCCTGCGTAGATCTCAGCCTCACAACTGGAGCTGAGAACCGAAGACGAGCGAGTAGCCCGCCACGAGACAGAGCCGGAACCAAGACTGAAGGTGTAACCCTGTGACGACCGCTGCGTAGCCTGGTCGTCAGCCCAAGAAGCGTCCGCGTGCCCTGTAAGGACCACTGGACTCCGCCCTCCAAGCACTAGCCCCATGCCCGACGTACTGCACAGGTAGCGCAACACCCTCTTCGCTGCAGCCATGTGCTCTGGTCGGTGTCTCCCAGGAGCAACATAGCGTGCAAGAATGCTCAGAGGGTATGCAAGGTCAGGTCGTGTGCAGGTCATCAGGTACATGAGGCAGCCAACAAGCTCTGGGTACGGGCCACTTGACTCTACGGACTCATCCGAAGGCAGAGCTGAGAGCGAGTGGCGAGTAGGCAGAGGAGTGGCCTGAGGCGAGGAGTACGTGAAGCCGAAGCGCTGAAGGACCTGCTGCACCATGTGTGACTGAGTCAAGGTAATGGTGCGGCGTGCTCTGTCCCGAGTGATCTGCAAGCCAAGGTAGCTGCGCAGTTCACCCAGGTCAGTGCACGTGTGTCTCTTCTGCAGCTCGGACTTCACGTAGGCGAGTCCAGCAGTGTCCGGTGTGGCAAAGACCAAGTCGTCGACGTACACGAGGATGTAGAACGGCGGCAGAGAAGTGTCGGTGCGCAGAAACAGCGACGGGTCAGCAGTAGAAGGAGCAAACCCAAGAGCTGCAAGCGTAGTCCTCAGTGTGTCGTGCCACTCACGCGGTGCCTGGCGGAGACCGTAGACTGGCCGTCGGAGGCTCCACTGGGTGCCAGGAGGGAAAGTCCCAGTGAAGCCAGGTGGACGGCGCAGCCAGATCTCCTCGTGCAGGCTACCCTGCAGGAACGCAGTGCTGAAGTCGAGAGAGTGAAGCTCGTAGTCGCGCTGAGCGGCTATGTGCAGCAGCACCCGAAGAGTGGTCATCTTCGGGGTGGGAGAGAAGGTCTGAAAGTAGTCAACTCCCTGCCGCTGACTGAAGCCACGAGCAACGTACCGCGCCTTGAAGACAGGTGGAGAGCCCGGCGGCCGCTTCACCCTGAAGATCCACATGCCACTGACGATGTTCGCCCCAGGAGGGGGAACTGCGTCAACGTAGGTGCCTGTGGACTTCCAGGAAGCCATCTCTGCATCCATAGCTGCCTGCCACTGAGAGGAGTAGGGACCCTCTACGGCCTCCGCGTAAGAGCGCGGAGTCGGGATGTCTAGTGCATCCGGGTCTCCCTCAGGAGCAAGTAGTACAGACGCAAGATGAGGTGAAGCAGCAGCCAGACACTGTAACTCCTCCTGCCTGTCCTCTAGGACGTCCGTGCCAAGAGCACACTCACCCCCGACGGACTGAGGACAGACAGACGCAGACTCAGCAACAAGACTAGTAGCGTAGTCTAAACGACAGCGAGCAGCAAAGTCGACGAGCTCAGCGACAAGAGCAGACGCAGCAGTGGACTCAAAAGAGGGGTCAGTGACGACAGTAGCAAGCAGACGCGTGACAGTAGGACTGGCAGCACGAAGAGAGTCCGACTCTGGGTCGGCAAGCGCAGGAAGAGAGGACTCAGGAGGAGAAGGCAAAGGGGCACGCAGAGGAGCAGTGGACGGACGCAGAGACATCCGGTGCGTGCCAGGGACAGGAGGAGGACGCTGACGCGAACCGCGACCACTAGTGCGAGCAGCACGAACAGGCGACGCAGGACGAGACGCAGGCTCACGACGCTCAGCAAGACCTCCAGTAGGACCAGTGTAAGGAGAGGGAGCAGGCAGTGGAGAGGAAGGCTCCAACAGTGACTGTGACTGGACAGGCTGTGAACACTCTACCGGAGGAGAAAGACCAAGAACCTGCTGCAGGAGCGGAACGAAGTACGGTCGAGGCCGCGCGGCAGCTCCAGACTCAGCAGGGACAGCACCAGCACCCTCAGTGACAGCACCAGCGCCACCAACACCTCCAGCGGCAGGACCTCCAGCAGCACCAGCAGTAGAACCACCGCCGGGACAGACAGCAGTAGTCTCAGCACCAACACCTACAAGAGCTCCTGCTCCAGGAGTACCCGCAGGCCCAGCAGCTCCGGGACCGGTAGCACCAGCACCCTCGACGGTCGAAGAAGCTCCAGCTCCAGCAGCACGCCTCCAGCGGCGAGCAAACCACTCGCGCAGCTCCTGTGGAGAGAGGGGCTCCCGGCGAGACGCAGCAGCAGGAGAAACCCCAGGCTCAGCAGCTCCAGACGTAGCACCCCCAGGCTCAGCAGCTCGCGACTCAGCACCCCCAGACCCAGCACCCCATAGCTCAGCAGCTCCAGGCACCGTACCCCCAGGCTCAGCACCCCCAGTCTCAGCACCCTCCGCAGTAGCACTCACAGGCCCAGCACCCCCAGGCTCAGCACCCCCAGTAGCAGCACCTCCAGGCCCGGCACCCCCGCGCACAGCACCCCCAGAGTCAGCACCCCCAGGCTCAGCACCCGCAGCAGCACCAGAGTCACCAGTAACCTCGACCGGGTCAACTGCGTCTACCTGGGACACACCTGAGGGGGCAGGAACCTGAGGGGGGAGGGGGTCTACCGGGGGGGGAACTGGCACAAGGAAGTCCGGCGGAGGGGGGAGGGAAGGAGTGCGGTAGGGGAAGAGGCGGTAGAAGGGGACTGACTCGTCGAACGTGACGTCCTGGGAGGACAGAACACTACGAGAGGAGGGGTGGTAAAACTGCCACCGGGAGCGTCTGTGGGGAAGCCAAGGAAGACACAGGGAGCAGCACGAGGGGACAGCTTGTCCGCAGACAAGTCGCGGACAAACGCCCGAGATCCCCAGACACGGAACGCCGACGCATCGCCAACCTTCCCCGTCCACAGCAAAGCTGGGGAGGTCTCCGGTCGGGAGACTCTGGGCTGAAGGTTGATCTGATGCGCGGCGTACCGAACCGCAAATGGCCACAGAAAATGGGGGGCAGCCGCATGCACCATGGACGTACGGGCGACGTCCATGACAATGCCGATGCGGCGCTCAGCAATCCCATTCTGCTGTGGAGAGTCCGGAAGCGTGAAGGTCTGGCGGATGCCTCGTGCCCGACAGTAGGCTTGCAGAAGGCCGGAGGAGAACTCTCCGCCTCTGTCCGAATGCAGACGCAGAACAGGAAAGTCAGAGCCGAAGCTCCGCCTGAGCTGGAGACGAGCTGCGCGGATCCAGTCGATCAACACCTCAGTGACCTCACCCTTGCTGCGCAAGGGGAAGACTGTGGTGTAACGCGAGTAGTCGTCAACCACCAGCAGGAAGTAGCGCTCGTGACCCTGTCCACGGACGTGGGCTGGGCCCCACACGTCCATGTGAAGCGTCTGCATCGGGGCCTCCGTCGGAGGAAACGGGGAGGAGTGAGGGGTAGCCCGCAGGCGACCCTCGACACAGGGGACACAGGGAGGGCCAGGCCCCGGAGGAAGGGGAGGGAGGGACCGGGGAAGGCCAGAGACAAGAAGGCGAGAGGCCATGCCCCGGAGACGAGGCAGGGAGGGGTGACCCATCCTGTGGTGCCACAGGAGGGTCTCGTGGGACAGGAGGCGACACGAGCAGGGGGCAGACTCAGGACCAGACCTGGACGCTGCAGCAAACACCTGACCCGACGCAGCTACCTGACCAGACGCAGGAGAAGGAGACGGAACAGTGAGTGTGTACAGGCTCGACCCTGGACCACGTGTGAATGTGGTCAGGTGTCGACCCGTGTCCGCGTCCGTGCAGTGGGTGACTCGTCGGCGCGCAGGGGTGAACTGGTCAGCCCCTGCATCCTGTAGGTCAGCACCCGCCACCAAGTTCGTAGAGAACGAGGGGAGGTAGAGACCTGACAGGGCGCCAGACGGAACCGCAGGGCACGGCAGGACAGTGGAGTAGCGAGCCAGAACAGGACCCCCA